GCCGTTCGGAAGCAACATCAAATCGTTGTGATACAAATTAAGGCTCTCAAGCTTTCCCAAGTCCTGAAACACATGTGACATTAGCATCCGCAACTGATTGAAACTCAGATCCAATGCGCCCAGATGGGAGAGACCTCTGAGAGAACCGTCGGACATGGAAACAAGAGCATTATGACTCAAATCCAAATGCTTCAGCATGGGAATCTCAGAGAAAATGTCCTCAGGAATTGAAGTTATTTTATTTTTTTGAAGATAGAGGCTAGTGAGGTTCAGAGTGTCCTGAAGGACACCGGTAGGTACGGCAACTATTCCATTTCGACTAAGATCGAGGTGATTTAGCCCTACGGCACCCTTAAAACTCCCATTACCTACACTTTTTAGGTTGTTCATTGACAGATAAATTTGATCTAGATGTGTGCAGTTCTCAAACACACCTACCTCGACCATCTCGATCATGTTATTTCTGAGCTGGTACTGTTCTACGTGAATCAATGTGATTTTGGCCTTTTATCATCGAAATTTTTTAGTGTTCCTCATTGGGAAACTGCAGATTTTCTCAGACGACTTGCACTTAGAGCAAGCAAGCACTAAAATTCACTCTATATGTCACTCCAGAAACTATGCTTCATGTACTGGGTATGTGGCCGTTGGTCCTGTAAGCAGCACTAAAATTCTGAATGGATTATGTAGGCTAATGTGAGCAAATAGTGTTTCCATATAATGACTAAAAAGCTGTCACTCACTTCACTTTATCGCAATCTCACAATGTTCCGTTATAATCAATGAAGCTCTTATTTACATCATGTCTACACTTTGTTACAATGAGAGGATTTGCAAGAGTGCAAGAAAAAAAATCTGTCGTTTAGAGGTGAGTGAATTTGGACTAACTTACACAATGGCCAATCACAGATGTTCAATAAGTCAACAGATATGACTGTGATTGGCTACATTGCTCAATGCTACAAAAACTTGTAAATAGAAACTTTTGATGCTTTCCACAGCGCAAACACAGATATGCACTGGAGCCTTTACCAAATCTGTTTCGGCAATATCCTATTAGTACAGTTTTACTGAGAGTGCTTTTGACTGTGTGAGAAAATGGACATGTGACATCAGAGCATGAAATCAGTGTCAACTGCCTGAGTCTGTTGCCTCTACTAATTCTTTGTCTGATTTTTAATTTCCAACCTATTTTTGGTTAATTTTAAGCAAGCAATACTAATTTTCAGTCAATATTTGAGTTAATTAAAACAACCCAGCATATTGGGTCAAACATTTAACCCAACCAGCTGGGTTAAAATAGCCCAAATTTGGTTGTTTTAACGCAGCATTTTTGTAAAGTGTAGTCAATATTAACCTTTATTAATCATTTAAAATAGATGTTACTTAAAAGCTATATGATATAAAATTAGCAAAGCTATCTATCTATCTGTCTGTCTGTCTGTTATGGAGTGACAGAGTCGCGAGACATGCGGATCCATTTGCAAACTTTATTTGAAGACGTGGTCAAAACAGGCAAAGATCGACACTGGCAAACAAGGTTGAACAGGGCTAGACAAAAGAGTATTCTTAACACAGGCGTGGGTCAATACATCGGCGAACGTTATCCAGATAACAGGCGAGAAGCATACAGTATCCAAACAGGGCGCAACGAAAATCCAGGGTAGACAGAGAACACACAGAATCGAGATACACTAAATACGGGAAATCAGGCAATGAACAAGACTAGATACGACTGGGAATTAAGACTGGAGAAACTAGACTGGCTCCGTAATGTAGCTAAAAACGCTAAACAATACGATGTGAGAAAGATCTGAGTGGGTGTTATATAGTGTGTGTGATTGGCTACAGGTGAGAGTGTAATCAGTGAAATGGAACATGGGAAATGTAGTCCGGGGTGACACGTAACAGTCTGTGTTATGGGAGAGTCAATGTAATAGAAGGGCAACCTCTGGTGGCAATCGGACGGAAGACCACGGACAGGATTCGTGACACTATCTATCTACCTGTTTAACAATATGATTAGTATACTGTAGGAAGTCCATCTGTTATCGAATTGTTACTCATCAGTTTGAGCTTCAACCCCAAAGCCATTATTAAAGGCATTGACAAAAATCTAAAAGACACTCATGATGAATCTCTAAAAAATAAACTCCAATGCTACTCAACCCTAAACAGAACCACTATATTTGCCAATTATTTATTGATTAAACCATTTAAAGAAAGACAAATCCTCTCCAAATACAGATTAAGTAACCATGATTTAGAAATAGAGAGAGGAAGACATAGACAAACATGGACAGAGCAAGAGCAGAGGATCTGTAGACACTGTGATCTACAGCAAATAGAGAACGAGAAACACTTTCTGCTGATTTGTCCTAAATATCACACTGTGAGAGGAACATTTCTCCCCAGATTTGAAGCCCTGATCCCATCATTTACTGAACTTAGTGATGCTGAGAAAATGCCCTTTTTACTTGAAGATGACAACACAGCTGCACTAGCTGCTAAATATGTATTAACCATTCACAATGTTAGGTGTTAAACATGATTAACTCGATACTGACTTACTTTATCTTTTCTTTTATTTAGATGGATTGTATTTATTATTATTTATGTTGTTATATGTTGTTGTTATATATATGTTAATGCTTTGGCAACATTGTGTTACACAGTCATGCTAATAAAGCTTAATTGAATTTGAGAGAGAGAGAGAGAGAGAGAGACACACACATCACATCACAGTGGAGTCAGCTGTCTTAACCGTGGCTTGTGTACTGCA